AGTGCGATCACACCAAACAGATCCTAAGAACAATCAACCCATAATCACATTATTTCTTAGTCCAATTCCAACATCTCAAGTAATTCATAGTTCAGGCCTATATATACATTCACAATATTGATAATATGATCTAACTGGTTCATATATAAACTCAACAGACAATCAGAATATCCACAAATGCATCAATTAGTACACCTATTTATTTACGTGATAAGAGTGATATAAAACCCTTAAATTAAATAATAACAAGAATTAAAAATTACTTTTCTAGTTCTGTGGTGAAGGATGCAGGGGTTAGTTGGAACAATAGAGAATCTACCTCTTGGAAAAAAAAAATTAAATAAAGATAAGTGAGTTTTACAACTTAGTGAATAATAATAAATAATGTGATAAGTGTTAATTTTATAGTGTTTTTAATGTAGTTTTTATTAGAATTAGTGAGTTTTATTTCTTTTTAATTCAATTCTAGTATAATTTTATTTAAAAGTTTCCTTGATCCTTAACCTGCTTGATCTAAGAGAAAATTGTAGGAATTTGGCACAGAAAAGAACTTTACAAGGCAAGACACTCAGCTTCTAGCACACCCAGGCCGTGCTAGAAGGGGCCGTGCTAGAAGGCCGTGCTAGAAGGCACAACCGTGCTAAAAGCTAAGGAAATCAAGGGAGAGACAGAAGAGAGCACGGCTTGGGTGTGTCAAAAGGCACGGCCGTGCCATTATGGGGTCTAGGGCGTGTCAATGCCTAGTGACAATTTCAGGCAGGAGTGACAGAAGCAAGCACGCCCTGCCTGTGCTATGTGGCACGCCCGTGCCTCAAGGAGTCTTCAGGTTGTGCTTGCCTAGCACACCTCGTGCTTCACTAGCCAGACTTCCAGACTAAAGCACACCCAGCCCGTGCATACTGGCACGCCCGTGCTACGTAGACAGAACTAGCGTGAAATAGATACGCAAATCAATCTTTTTCTCACATGGGCCGACCTCGGGGAGTTTCCTATTTCTAACACACTAATAGACCTAGCCTATTTTGGGAGAGAAGGAGTCCCTAAATCAGAAGAGGATCAAAAGCCTAAAGTCATGATCTTTCCTATAGAAAGAAGTTTTGCACTACTAAGATTCCTATTTCCTAAAGGGTCAGACCTTAACTTCAGGATGCTCTATATAAGGAGGGGGGAAATTTCATTGACTAAGGATCTCGTTTTCTTTGTGCAATTCGTTACATTAATTTCTTCTCTCTCAATGAGATTTAAGATTCCAAAATTTTGTGCCAATTCAAGGAAGCCATCAACAATAGCTTTGTGATTCAGTTTTTTTTTCTACTCTTCATTTTGGTTTTCTTTTCATTAATTGGGTCTTTAAGTATGATGATTTGATTCAAGTATAGACTGGAGTTTTATTTAATTACTAATGTTCGCTACTTTAGATACTAGAGGAATTTTGAATGTACTTAATTCCGATTCAGTTTATAATATTAGATTTATTTCTTTGTTCTCGTTATAATTATTATTGTGGCTTAAAGCTTCCAGGTCAGAAAATTTTCCTGGATTGAGTTTATTTCAATAATTGGCCTTTCGGGGAAGGGGTTATGAATATGAAAAGATAATTTTACTTTTTGAGACTAATTCATTGGATGGGGCGGGAGTATATGGGTTTTGATCCCAGGGGGGGTTTTTTCTAAGTTCATATTATTAAGTTGTTGGAACTCCAAAACCAACCACAAACCTAAAGGTCTTGAATTTTATGTTTTGATTTTTTCTATTGGAAGATAGGCAAATTATACTAGATTAGAATAGCTAAAATCTTGGGAGAGTTGTTTAGTGATTCTAGGGGTGGTTTTTCTCTACTTGAAACAATTTAAATTGATTAATGAGCTAATAAATAAGCTGGATAGAATTAGTGAAATAAAATTCCTAGTAGTGTTAAAATCCCTATTTCTTTTTTCACCTAAAATTTTTGTTGCTTGATCTCCTTCTGTTTTTTTACCCTTTAAATTTTTAATTATTTTTCCCTTATAGGATTTTTCCTCTTATTATTGTTTTAAATAATAATAAGGTTAAATTAATTTTGTAAATTGATATACAATCCTGTGGATTACGATACTCATCTTTCTCTTATATTACTTGTTGCGATTTTCGTAAACTTGCGAAAATTCAACGACCAGTTTTTTTTTGGCGCGGTTTTGCCGGGGATTGGGATTATCAATATCATACGAATTCCTTATGTTTAATTTAGACACTTTTTTTTCCTCTTAAATTTTCTTTTTTAGAATGTTTCCAGGGGTATTTTATGCAAAGAAAGATCAGGGAAACTGACTCTAAATCTTATGATCCAGAATTGAAGAATTTCGTAGGCACAACGCTGCAAGAAAAACGAGGAATAGAATCGAACAAACAAGCAGTCATGGCACGAAATGAAAACGAACACGGAAAGCAGAGAACATAGTCCCGGCAGGACCACATTCAACATCCAGTCGTACATTAAGGGTATTATACAACACATAATTTGATGGGAACAACCTAGTAAAATTATGAGATAGGTAGAGTAATATTTTTTGGAGGATTAACCCGCAAATTAATCCAAAATGCCTCTCTACCTCGATCAATGGGGGTTGCTAGTGAAGACCTTAATGCTCAAATACAATTTTTGAATTATGTGACACATTTCAACAAAATTGGTGTTTTTTTGAAGGTATGGCAATAAGCGAGACTTTTCCCTTTTAACTCTTAGGGATAAGGGAGGTCTTGGTTAAATCGTGTTCCTCGCTGGGCAGTTTAACACAGGGAATGAATTAAGCTCAAAAGTTTCTAGGCTAAATCTTTCAACTAAACACAAGTTGCGTAATGAAGAAATAATGACATTGCCCATCATGATTCAAGAAGAGGCGCCTGTATGAAAGCTTGGGAAAGAATTAAAAGTTTTGTTAGACAGGTGCTCGATTCAAGTTTGCCCAGTGGCTACAGGTCAAACTTATCTATATGCATTATTTTCCTAACATCAAAATTCCTAGAATGCAGATGGCAGGCCGGATCTTTGAAAGAAAGGAAATTGATGAAGCTATGAGTTAATAGAAGAGAATGGCAAGCAACCACATTACAAAAAATTTCGAAAGGAGAGAACTCAGAGTCCCTATGCAAAATAGACGCCATTAAGCCTTAATGCAAGGTAGAAACATGGGTAAGGATTGGGACATGTTATATAACTGTTTAATTCCGTCATGCAAGTTTTTGATAGGGTGCAATGGACAACATGGAATTGGAGAATGCAATCAATGGAACTTTTAATCCACAAACTTTGGAGAAGTGAACTATGTGTGATCAAGAAGAAAAGAATTACCTTATGCAATTCATATTGATAAAGGTTAAGGAACATCTATCTATCTAGGTAAATTCAAAATGGCTTGAATGCCACCAGGGTTTCCAGCCCTCCAGAAAAGAATCCATGAAGAACCTCCTCTCTGCTCTTTCTAATCAACATGACAGTTCTGAAGAAGAGGAGAACAAAATCCAGCAGGTGCAATAAGAATTTGGGGAATTAGCTTAGGGCAATTTGCAAACATGATGGCTTGACTTAAGGTAACGTACTAGTAATTACGGAAAAGAATCCAAAGACAAGTGCAAGCTATCATGAGAAAGTGGCAAAAAATTAGATGAAAGCCACCAAGGAAAAGAAAAAGGAGAAAAAAGGAACAACCAAAAGGTAGCCTATCATTGAAATTAAGAAGAAACAGGAAAAAGGTAAACCTATGTTCCCCTGTTTCCTATTCACAATAAGATTAAAGAAAGCACAAGATGAAAAGCTTCTCAAGTTTTTCTGGATTGTGGTTTTAAGAAGCTTCAAATCAATATTCTTTTTGCTGAGGCTCCTTGACTCAAATGCCTAGCTATGCTAAAATTCAAAAGATTCCTGAGCAGAACGAAAAATCGATGAATCAGGACACGTGTAATGTTAACTGAGGAGGTGAGTGCAATTTATCCAAACAATTGCCTCAAAGTTAAAAGATCACAGGAAGTTTTCTATCCCTTGTAACATTGTAATCTTTGCTTTGAAAAGGTTTGGCAGATTTAGGTTTGCTTAGATATAATCCTTATTGTCCTATGAGTTTTTTTAAGATGCAGGTATGGGGAGAGCTCAAAACAACAAGGATGTTCTTTTTAAATTAGCGATCGGTTCATTAAATATCTAGAGGAAATTGTAGAAAACGTGCTTGTAAAGGTAGGGTACAATTCAGCTTTCTTGGTTGTTTTGTTTATTCCTTGACATGGGATGAAAGAACAAGGGGAAGGATTCCTAATC